TGGATGCAGTCAGTATATATCCCTTGTGTGTGGGCTTCGACTTACCGAACGCCGTTCGACTCCTGTTCGAATAGGCAAATTTCTATTGAATGTAAAGTTCAGCGGTGTTTGTGCCGTTGCTTGTCCGATTTGAGTTCCATGAACTCGACGACAAAACACAGCTGAACACGTTAGACTAAACAAGATGGCCGCCGTCACATGTTTGAATGTCGAATGGCAGCCACTTCGACTGTTCAGGAGCTTGAAGTGTTATTGTACCAGTCCAAAAGGGGAACAAACACTATCTTTAACCCACAGTTCACCACAGGGGCCATAGTTACAGGGCAGGAGGCTGGCAAACAGGCCCCTCCAAAAAACAGTGGCGATGTCACTTTTGCCAAAATTCCAAATATCTTTCTCTGTTGCAACAACCAGAGTGCTTGGCTGAATAACAGCAAACATTGAAAGGATTTTTTCAATTGCCTTAGAACGAATTTCCAACTTTCATTTCCTCTGACAATGTGAGACCAGTGTCCTTTGCCTTCTCTCCTGGCATTGTTTTCCAGAGCTTTACTCTCCCTCTTCTTTCCACAGAAATGTCCATTTATTCACACGTAGTAGTTGCAACGAATGGCCTTTTCCACAATTTCACTGCGCTGATCTGCAAGAAACGCTTTTAGAGCTTGTAGTTTCACAATGCACTTTTCAAGAGTGAGTCCCACTGTTTGCAAATACTACTGTGTGATATTAACTTCTTCTGGAACTTCACACCAGAAAAAAATGTAATACAAAAAAGAAAAATCACATACGGCAGACAGCAACATCTGGGCCAATCCTCTTGTGTCCACATTTTCTTTGGGATTACACAGTTTTCCAAGGCCCGAAGTCAGTTTTTCAAAATTTGCCCTCACAGGCTTCACAGCATCATAATGAGTGCTCCATCTTGTTTGGGAAAGTATTTTCACTGTCACACCTAAATTCTCCATCAGCAATTCCCAACGATGTGTGGTAACCGAAAAAATGGAATATGCTCTCTCAATTGTTCCAAAAAAGGTCTCACAGGAAGCAACACTTCAAAATGAGTGCATGCCACAGACGTTCAGAGAATGGTTTGCACATGGCATAAACAAAGTCTTAGGATTCGTATATTTTATATTTTCCTGAACATCACCATAAATCCCTGCCATAGTTGCAGCATTATCATACCTTTGACCATGGCAAAGGCTTATGTCTAGTCCATCTTCCTCCAGATGTTGCAGGATATTTTCTGTGAGCTCAGCAGCAGTCTTTTCAGCAACAGGAAAGAAGCCAGAGAATGATTCCTTAACTTCAACATTGTCACCTTCAATATGAACATATCTGATCACTTCACACATTTAATCAGTGTGGGACACATTAGGGGTGCTGTAAAAAAGAATCCCAAAGTACTTTGCTTTCTTGATATCAGCCACTATTTCCTCATTCACGTGATTCCCCAGAAGAAAAAAAAAATAATTTTTGGAGAGAAATAGGAAATCATTATTTCCCAGATGCAACAGCATATTTCAGCCTCATGAAATGTTCCTTTAAAATGGGATCATAGTTTGAGAGCAATTCTACCAATTCCAGCAAATGTCCTTTGTTTGCTGATGACATAGTCTCTCTATGACCACAAAAAGGAAGATTCTGGTGAGCCAGAAACAAAGTTACATCCAAGAGGCAATGCAAGATATCCCTTAATTTCCTTTTCTCTATGTCCACTGTTGTTTGGTGGACATGATAAAGGCATTTTTGTAGCTTCAATCCTGTTCTCAATGTCTTCCATTTCTCCAAGCATGTAAGATGCTGCTCAGAAGCCTCATGATCAGACATCTTTGGGTCCAACTTCCACCACAATTTCAACCCGGTAACAAAACTGGATGCTCATGTTACTTTGTCATCAACGGCAAAAAGTCTGCTGCAAAAACAAAACCAAAAAAAATATTTTGATGGAAAGTACACCATCCACGTTCTAAGAATTTTTTCGCCATTAGGCGGAGCCTTATAGAACCATGCAATGGTCAGCTGTCGTCTCTTTCCTTTTGATTCCGCTCCTTGCCTTTCAACATGACTGGTCCATCTCTTAATCTCTTAATAAAGTCCACTCTTAAAACATCTGGAACTGGAACTGGCCAAACAGAAACAATAGAATAAACTGACAGTTGAACAGTCTCCTCTTCTTCATCATCATCAGAGTCTTGCTGATGCAGGCTTCTACTGGCATCTCCTTCGTCTACATCACTTTCACCGCTTGAAGATAAAATAATTTTCTCCAATTCTTGTGCTTTCACATATAAAGCTTCTTGAGAAGATACTTCAGGCATTTCACCTCTGGATTCACCAGGCTGAATGTCTTCAGCACATTCTCCTACTGCGGTAGATGTTGAATGTGCAACATATTTTAAAATTGATCCAGACATCGCCTCTGCTGACTTTTCTCTTGCCTTCTTAATTTTTTGTTGCTGATACCTGCTTGGTCGAATTCGCTTCATATTGGTGTTTTCTGCAAAATAGAAAAATATATTTTGGGTGAACATTGAAGAGGTGAGAATATCCCCTTCCAACCTTGTGTTCATTTATCTCCATACAGCAAAAGCACTGTTTAGCAGCGCATAATGACAAATGCCAGGTTGCATGGCAGTGCAGGTGGGTGTGGGGAGAACATTCCTGTGTATGTACGGGATATCGCACTATCTCCAAGCCAGAAATTATTTTTTTACATCCAGGACCATATTTACATGTCAGGTACCTGTAGGCATAAAATTCTAAGGCTTCACCCTGTTCCCCAATCCAAAGAAATAGGTAAGGTAACTATAATGAATTTATAAACTTGGCATTGCAGACCTCAAGACATTTAAAAAAAAGTAATATTGTATAACTGTATGCTTGTGCATATGTCTGAGTGTATGCAGCTGTGAAAGTGCATGCAGAGTTAAAGATAATGTGGTTAGGGTAAAGTGTAGTTGAAAAGGGACACTAAAAGTACAAAAACAGCTTTAACTTAATGAAGACGTTTTGGTATAACTCATGCCCTTGTAGTATTACTGCATAATATAAGTATAATAGTATCATTTTAATTCTCTGTCATTTAGGAGTTAAATCCCTTTATTTGTGCAGCCCTAGTCACACCTCCCTGTATGTAACCTACTAAGTCTCCCTACAGATTTCCTGTAATGAGATAGCTAATGTTCACTTTTATTGTTCACTTCTTTCACTGCACATACTTTTTAAATAAGAATTTCTTCCTGCTCTGTTAAGAGTCTGAAAGTGCCTGCAGGAGTCTCCTGTTTGTGATTAAAGTTCCAAAAACAGAGCAGGCGACAAAAACTTCTAAAGCAAGCACATGATGCTGATTGAAAATGTTACTTTTATTTGAATGTAGGATGTTTGAGTCAGGTTGCATAAACAGAAACAAAACCGGTTGGCTGTGTCGGTGAGAAGAAGAGAAAGAGCGCCACATCCCCTCATTACAAGCAGGGAGGCACCATGAAGGCTTATATATTACATCCAATTTGTGAGTGTAACCATGAAGTGTCTTGCTATCTAAGAACAAAACAATATTACTCTATGTTTTGTTTTATTTAACTTTTGTAGTGATAACAGCTGAATCCCTAAAACTACATATTTTTGTCTATATCTTATAATTGGTTACCATATTGGGAGGTAACCAGAGAGAAGCTGCATATACAAAGTTAAGTTGCAATTTTTTGTTTCCACGAAACACGGGTGAAAGGTGAAGATTTGTATTGCATATCATTTGTTATAGCCTGTTACTTGCTATAATTATCGTAGTAAATTGACATATAATATTACAACATTTCATGTCCACATATTGGACCACAATATTAAGAACTATAAAAAATATTAATATTATAACCTCTTTCTTATAATTTTATATTAATTAAAATTAATATACATATTTAAACCATGGCCATAACAGAACTCCATACCTAGTGCAGTAGCACTAATTCCTCCTATCCATATCTATTTTTATTATTTTATTTGTTTTTATACTGCTTTGTATTCCTTAATTTGTATTTAAATCACATTCCGGTACTCCGCACTCCTTTTGTCACCTACCTTTCTCCACCCACATTGAGCTGGCAGTTACTGTGACTGCAGGGGACGGAACACCGAGTTGGGATGTATGCGCATATATCAGAGCCAAGTGTGGCACTCAGACCGCGAAACTTACAGGGGAGCTGACAGGAGCTGACCGGACCGGAGGAGATAGAAGGGAGCTGACAGGAGCTGCAGGAAAGGTAAGTTACAGCTCTCTGCCAGCCCCCCTCCTACACAGCCCATTCACTGGACCACCAGGGAATGAGAGCCCCCATCCCTGGCCATGTATCAAGCAGAGAGGGGGGACGAAAAAAATCTAAATAAAAATTTAATAATAAAATTGTAATAATATATAAAAAAAAATAATATTAAAATAATAATAATAATAATTTAAAAAAATAATAAAAATGCTCACCCCCCACCAAGGCTCTGCATCACACACACACACACTGCACTCATACACACACACACACACACACACCACATTCATACAAACACACTGCATTATATACACACACACTGCATCCCTACACACACTGCATTCATACACACACCAAAACCGACTGGACCGGAGGAGAAAGAAGGGAGCTGAGAGGAGCTGCAGGAAAGGTAAGTTACAGGTAGCTGTCAGCCCCCAACAGGACCGCCGGGCTTGTAATGAGCCCAGCGGTCCTTGTTTGTATTATGGCAATGTAAGTTGCCATAATACAGACAGTGACTCGAGTATAAGACGAGTGGGGTTTTTTCAGCACAAAAAATGTGCTGAAAAACTCATCTTATACTCTAGTATATACGGTATATTATATAATTATATTTTTTGCGCTTATTGATACAATAAATAATTTTAGAAGTATTTTATGCTTTACAGCAAAGTTATCACATCTGTTGTATTGTGGATCTCAACGATAAGTATTATCAGATATATTGCTTAAGGCATGTTATTGCGTGTTGGTTATTTTTGTTACTGTGCAGAGAAATCACAGCTTTTAGGGAGTTTTTGCAGCAGTTTTTTATTTTTATTTTATTTTACTTTTTGCAAGCTATTTTCACATTTCTTTTTCAGTGTCATCGGAATGTAATTTTTTGTAATATTAGAATTTCTATTTTAGATGAATTTGTCGAAATATCATATAACAAATTGAATACTAACAAAACTCAGGCTCTTTCCTTCTACACTCCATGGTATGATTTAAATGTTTTGAAACAGAAATTTGACTTTGACTGGAGGGACTCCAGTGTATCCTATTTGAGCATTAACCTGTGCAAGAACCTGTCAAAAATGCATATCTGTAACCTGGCTAAAGTTTGGACCAAAATTCGGGATGACCTTGAGCGGTGGGGTAGTGTTGAAATCTCATGGTTAGGTAGGATTAATTCGGTCAAGATGTCTCTCCTTCAAATTTTTTTATAATTTATCAGAGAAATTCCCATCACCACACCTTTATCTTTTTTTAGAAGGGTTCATTCTGCCCTTCCAACATTCATATGGAATAAAAACTTGGATCGTGGATGCCCTCGTTGGCTTGAGATGGAGGCAGACAAGATTTTTTTTCTTGTTCTATTAAAAATGTTTTATGGCTGCCTTCTTCTCAAGGACCGCAAGTGACGGACATGTTTCGCTCTACTAAAACAATTATGCTGTGCTGCAATCATTTTTACGTGAACTGAACATAAAATACTGGCATTCACACTCCATTACGCACATTAACAAATTATTTTTTAACAATTATTTGTGGTCATCTGTTCAGTTGAAGGAAAAATTAAAATTTATAGACGATTCTGACACTCATATTTTTGATGAGATGGTAAAACTGTTGCATGAACATTTTAATGTTTCTGTCCAGGAACATAAAGTTCTTTAATAATATACATGCTAATCTAGTCTGTCATTTTATCATTCAGTCTATTTGTCTGTCTTTTATTCGTTCTGTTTGCCTATAATAATAATAATAATAATAATGATAATATTTTGATGCAATACAAAAATAATTTCACCAAATCCAGCTAGTCATATTCATTTTTACCGAGTTACCAGAATGAAGTCTTTCTTTGCTTATAGCATCTAATCCTTTGACTAGAAGTCAGTGTTTTAGGTGTCAAGAAGGTAATATTGTCCTGAGAGTGGGTGATTTTGATTTTATTGGCTGTGCTACAGTGGAAATGAGAGACGTCTATTGTAGAAGCACTGGAGATGCTATCTTGAGAAAATTACGAATTTATAAACTTCATGATTACTATAATTATGTTGATTTCCTGTGCTTTCTTTCTCAAACCTGCATTGCAGAATTAACTTGCACTTACTAACCAAGAACAAACCAGAGCCGTGATGTAAAAATAAAAGGTAGTTAATATTAAGTTGTACTAAGACCAAGGAGGAGAGTAACATAATTCCCAGATTTTACTATTAACATGACGTAAAGTCATGATTTTATTAAAGACACGGAGGCGAGTATTATGCATAACTCTTTCTTTATTTCCTCAGCAGCAAAGATAGAGGAATATAAATATATCAAAAATGAAAGAAAAAACTGTATAGATACACAGGCAACCAATCACATAACAGAGGAAGTGACTATATAAGGCCTGTGTCTCCCACAATCCCCTTCTTTCTTGCGAAAACCGAAGACCAGGTAAGAAGAACGATATCCTGCTTGGTCAAAACCGGGAACTGGAACAAACCGACAATTTCAAGCTAAAAAAGAGAGAGAAATATGGTAATAACCAAACTCCAAACTGTAGACTTACCAATACGAAACTAGTGACCTGTCATAAGGTTAAGGAATGAAACCTGAAAAATATAATAGACATAATTAATTAGTATATGTAATACACCATATGAAGTACATCCAAGGTAGGTCAAACCCAACATACCTGAACACGCCAAATCGCATCTCGCTCCATACCCCACACCGGGAGGGTGGGAGGGAATAATACTCGCCTCCGTGTCTTTAATAAAATCATGACTTTACGTCATGTTAATAGTAAAATCTGGGAATTTTATTAAAGACACGGAGGCTCATATTATGCAAGTTCAAAGCTGTGCTATCACCTGAGATGCGATGTGTTCAATAGGTCTGAAGTAGAAGTCACGGAAGGTCGACTCTCGAGACCAATCCGCTGCATGCATGATGTCCTCCAGACGACAGCCGACTGTCGAAGCCTTGGAAGCCATAGCACCCCTCACCGAATGGGGTGTAAAGATAGACGTGTCTATACCAGCCATAGACAACAGCCAACGCACCCAACGTGCCAGGGTCGGTGTCGCCACAGGTCGATGCGGAGTACGAAAAGAAATGAATAAAGGTCGTAGGTCTAGTGAGCGAAGAGGTCGAGTCACCTCCAAATAGACCTTTAAACACTCCACTGGACAGAGTGCCGGACACCCTTGGAATCTAGGGTATACGAAAGACCTTGATGCAGATTTAGTCCGTCTGGAAATAT